CCTTCCTTCCTTCCTTCCTTCCTTCCTCCCTTCCTCCCCTCTCCCTCCTCCCTCTCTCTCCACCTTCCCTCTTCCCCTCTCCGCCTCCGCCAAAATTACACACTGTCGCCCTTGCGCTATGGCGTGACTCCGTAGCCTAATGACCGAATCAGGCAGATAATCACTCGTAACGCAAAGGAGAGAGAAGAAGAAGAAGGAAAAAAAAGAGGGGATTAAAAAATAAAATAGAATAATGATAAGCATGACTTCAGCTCGGCGACTCCCAAAGCGTGACTGACAGGCCGTTTCATTTGACCGCCGCGGCCATGCGATACGACCGCGGGACACGATCACTTTCGGGCCGGCCCACTCAAGGGTCTTCCCTCCTTCCCTCTCCCCCCCTCCCCCCCCTCCGTCTCAATCCTTTTCCTGGTCCTGCTGCGTTCCCGCGAATGTCCGTCCGTCCGTCCGTCCGTCCGTCCTTCCTTCCTTCCTTCCTTCCTTTCTTCCGCTTTACCTCCCCCATCCCTTCCTTTCTCTCTTGCCTTCCTCCCTTTTCCTTCATCATTCCTTTCTTTCCTTCCTCCCTACTTCCCCTTTCTCCCTCCCTTCCGCCTTTCCTTCCTTACGTCCTTCCTTCTCTCCTCTTGCTCCCCTCCACTCCATCAGTTCCCCATTCCTAATCCCTTCCTTCCCCTTCTTCCCTTTTTTCTCTCCCCCCCCCTCCCCCCCCCCCCCGCCGGTCGTTATCTCGTTATCCGGGATCTTTGACTAAATAAGATACCAGGAGATTATAGAGCGTTGAGAGGGGGGGGGATAAGAGGCCGTGAAAATGGTGAAAGAGAGAAGAAGAAGGAGAGAAGAAAAGGAGGAGACAGAAGGGAAACGAGGAGAGAGAAAAGGATAAAGAGGGGAGAGACAAGAAGGAAAGAGGAGAGAGGCAAGAAGGAAAGAGGGAAGAGGTCGTAAGAAAGAGAAAAAGAAAAGAACAACAGGGGGAGAGTGGATAAGAGAGGAGGAGGAAAAGAGCAAGAGACAGAAGAAAGAGAAAACGAGACAGCAATAAGACATGAAAAAATACAACGGGCGAAAATACGTGCCAAAATAAATTAAATACTACGGACCTGCTAAGAATTCACACGCACTTCATTAATACCATTTTAAACCCTTTCCCCACTCCCCTTACCATCTCCCCCTCCTCCCTCATTCCCTCCCCCGCTTCCTCTCCCTCTCTCCCTTTCCCTCTCCCGCTTCCGCGTCCTCTCCCTCTCCCGCTCCCTCTCCCTCCCTCCCTTCCCTTTCCCCTCCCTCTCTCCCCTCTCTCTCCCCTCTCTCTCCCCCTCTCCCTCTCCCTCTCCTTCTCCGTCTCCCTCTCCCTCTCCTCCCTCCCCCTCTCTCCCCTCCCTCTCCCTCCCTTCCTCTTCCCTTTAACCTATGCCCCGAATGCTATCACGTCCCAGCTATAATGAGCGGACAATCAGAAGCAACATCAACCAACAAAATGCCAGCTGCTGCAAGGAGGAAGTGGGGGAGGGGAAAGGACGGGGAGGGGGGGGTGGCATGGGGAGGGGGAGAAAGGGGGGGGCTTGGGTGATGGAGAAAGGGAAGAGAGAGAGATGTGAGAGAGGGGGGAGGGGGAAAACAGAATGGGAAGGAGAACGGAAGAAAGGGAAAAACAGTTAAAAATAATGAATATAATTATCATATCACACACCTGTCCTTGCACATTACCCCCAAATAATTACCCAGACAACATTTTCATTAAAATTAATTGACCTGTTCAAACTTGCTGAAGGTGATAAAATTTTAATGCAACCTAATGACACATTTTGAGGGGAAATCGAACTGGTTTTCCTTTTTGTATTTGTGATTTTGCCGATAAAAAGTAACTATAAAAGAATACCGTAAAAATTAACGTTAAATTTCTCTCTCTCTCTCTCTCTCTCTCTCTCTCTCTCTCTCTCTCTCTCTCTCTCTCTCTCTCTCTCTCTCTCTCTCTCTCTCTCTCTCTCTCTCTCTCTCTCTCTCTCAGTAAATAAGTAAATGGATAAATACACAATTAAACAAATGAATAAACGATAAACAACACAAGAGTAAAATATCTTTCAAGTAACCTTTTCCTGAACTACCGTACGGCGAATTCCGCGGTGAATTTGCATACCAAATTAAACCTTTAGTCACACCAAACAAACCCGTGGGAAAGAAAAACAGATCACCTGGAAGCAAAATAAGACAAGCAAAGTGAACAAGTGAAAAGAAAAAAAAAGGAAAAAGAAAAAAACAAACAGGCAAATACACACACTACCGAGAGTATCAGTAACGGTTTGGTGCAAGCAAATATGCAATCATTAATTCACACGGGATAATAACACTTGGCTTCAGGATACAGACTGAACCATCAAAGGGGATTTCGGGCACGCTGTGTGCCTCAGAGTGTGAGTGTGAGTGTGAGTTTGAGTGTGTGTGTGTGAGTGTGTGTGTGTGTGTGTGTGTGTGTGTGTGTGTGTGTGTGTGTGTGTGTGTGTGTGTGTGTGTGTGTGTGTGTGTGTGTGTGTGTGTGTGTGTGTGTGTGCGTGCGTGTGTGTGTGTGTGTGTGTTGGCATGCGCG